ATTTCTACGCTGGCAGTCAACAACCTACATCCATCAGGATCCCAGAAGTCCTCGAGGCAGCTGGCCAGGCAGCCCCCAGCTCAGGATCCAGTGACAGCGACACAGGCAGGCAGGTCAGGCTCAGACTTAGCAACTCACCACCAACTCAACTAAATATTACAAGTGGCAGTGGACGAGGTGGGTGCATCACTGCAGCAGTTTCCCCTCTGCTGATAGAGGTCATTTCCCTGTGAGGAGGTAGTAGGAAAATGTAGAGTTCCTCTGCTTGACTTGAACAGTGGAAACTCACATGCTCCTCTCAACACTCAACAATCTACTGTCTCTACACATTCCAGTTACACCTTAAGATATAGATACGTCCTCCCTGGAGGAGGATTTTATGATTTCTTGTTGTTATACAAGCAAATTCTTCTTTCTCCTTATGGGCCTAAATATTTCTTTCTTCTCTTTCTTACTGTTTACTCATTTCACCACAAACACCATGCCATGTGTGCAGGCACTGTATAAGGGGGTGACGCGGGTCATCTTGGCCACAGAGAACGACTACTGTAAACTGTGTGATGCCTCATTCAGTTCGCCGGCAGTTGCGCAGGCCCACTACCAGGGCAAAAACCACGCCAAGAAACTACGGCTTGCTGAGGCCCAACACAACTCCAATAACATGTAGGTTTGGGTAAATAAAAAATAAAAAAACATTTTGCTGCTGTAGGCCTCCTCCTCATATTGGCTTGTACAGACTTAGCATATGTTTTGCAAATGTCCTCACAGCCTTGAGCTGATGCCACAATGGAGGTCCACTGTAGAAAATATAGGTATCATAATAGAAAAGTCTTATTTTGGCTTTAGCATTGTTCATTAATGCAGTAAATTTAAAACTTAATTCAATAAAACATACAGTATTTATACATACAGATATAAGTGACTCAAGAATCTATCAGGTCTTTGATTTTATTAACTTAATCGTGTTGAATTTAAGTTGCAGTCTGTGAAAAATCCCCTAAACATTCAGTTAGTTTGAGTTAAGCATAAACTTTATTGCGAAGTATTCAAAAATACAAGGAGTTTGACTCCAGCTCAATGGCCCCCGATGTGCACAACATAAAAACCAAATAAATAACAGAATAAATAAATACAAAAATATATATACAAGTTAAAAAGTACAAGTTAACTAACCAACTACATTACTGATATTATATTAGATAATAATACCTGTCTGTTTTATTCACCCTTTGGGCCAAACTGAAGTGTTTTGCCACTGCCCATTACAGGGACAGCAGCAATGAGGCAGCCCCAAGAAGAAACAGGAAGGACGGCAGCGAGG